TCAGAGATGATATAAGGGAAAGTAAACTCAAAACAACATCTACAATCAAAAAATCTACTATTATTCTACCGATGTATATGATTCAAATTAACTCATTCACGCCGTGAACATCGTTACAATCTTCTTTCGTTATTGCACCACATGCTCTTTAAATTGAGCTAATGCATGAAATAAACAATTTACTTAAAGACGTTACACCCTAACCAAAGCAACAAACTACTCCATACCAGTTGTCGAATACGAAAGCAACATGATATAAGACCTTAGTGATGCCTTTATGAAGGCAGGAATCGGAAGGTTTGTGTGTGTGTTTTTTTCTGTGTATGTATATGTGTATATTTGTATGTGTCTGTGTGTATGTGTATGTGAGCCTGCGTGCACGAGTGGGATGATTTTATAATTAGGTCTATTCGTTATGCTCTGAAGAAAGTACATGTCGCTAAGAAAGGAGCTAAAGACAAGACGTTTAAGATGTTTAATTGATTAAGCGCAGTACACGTAAACGACATTATCGATTGTGTTAGGAGAACACTTTAACGTTAATGATTTGAGTTGGCAGCGACTTGACTGGAAGCAATTTTCCATTGCGAGAAGACACACAGGAAAACAGTGAATCCGCGATGCTCCTCAAATAGTAAAAAGCAATGAAGATTGTATAAGCGATATTCTTATAATTTGTTACTCACAGAGACGAAACGATCGTTCACATAGGGTCGAACAAGCAACAGTCAAACTGGAGGTCTTCGATTCGCTACTCATTCTGCTTTTCTGCGCACTGCTGCTTTGACCTGTATGATAGCCTGTAGAATTGGCATAATTTTGGTTAATGGTAGCAGGAGTTGAAAACGTATTGGAGGTACGGTATGCGTTTACAAACAATCAATATCTTGTGTTGGACATATTTCAAGCTTTGAGGGCACCTTCGAGGTAAGTTTTGTCTGGAAAGTGACTACGCGAAATGCTTGGGAACATTCAAGATAAAAATGGATCCGAGAATCGCTGAAACGTAAGGGAAACGTGAATGCGAGGTGTTGATTGTTCTATGGGCGCATATGGGATCTTCAACGTACTGTAGCATGTCATGGTATTGCGATATAATAGTCCGCTGGAATAGTGGATCCCTCCAAAAAATTTTTTAATCTCATTGTATTCAGTAGAAATCTCTTCCTTTTTAAGCTATTGTAATAGTAAGTTTGTACTTTTCCTTTGTTACCAATTTGGCAGCTGAGACCGAAAATTCATTTGTGAGAGGTCGAATTCGCGTGATAACGCCAGTCGAGGCCATTAACATTTAGACAAGTCTATAATTCAGAAAAAAACTTACGTTAATGGACCGTCAAGCAGTCGGCTCTTCGAATTTTAATCGCTGATACTTTTCAAGAATACTCGCAGAGTATTATTAAAATCGATAATTCCCGCCTAAATTCATTCAACTGCAATTGAGAGCTGTTTAAGGTGTTTTAGTATTATGATTCATCTTAGCATTGTAATTCCGGCAACGTACTGTCTCTACAGCACAGCAGAATGTCAGAGAAACGCTGAAACCACGAAGTGTTTGTACAAATTGGCTGACAATGCCGTCGTACAATATAAGGATGTTGTTGGTGGCCTACCGTGTCCTGCTGCCTTGATAACGGTACTCATAGGCGTCAGTGGTCACGCCTATTATCGCCGAAAAATACGATGAAAAGCGCCGGAGGGCCTATGGAGTTAAAACATAGCATATGTGATAGTGTAAAGCCCGTAATTGTTCCAATGGAGCAGGCAAAGCTTATTCTGGAAGTGCTCAACTATTAATAGAATATTTGATGTAACGGTAGGCGATTACCGAAATTTCAAAAGGGCTTCAAGTTTAAATAACTCGTTTTCTAAGCGGATAGGCAATCAACTGCCACCATTGGCGTAGAGATGCGCAAAAAAGAGTAGAGAAAGTGTTTAAAAAATCTTTGAAATGTTATGAGAACGAAAAAATCGCTGTACCTTTTTGTGATTTAGGTATCCGGCGGAGATCGACGGGAGACCTCAGGTCTCCGATTAGCAAACACTTTTTTGTTTCTCATAATTTCACATTCTTTATAGCAAACACTTTTTATGCACCCCTTGACCCAACTTACAGCGCAATAACCAGATCAAAGCACTTTCTCCTTTCCTTGTTAGGGCACTAAATTGTTTTTCCTCAATGAAGAAAACTCACCCCAAATATACGGCACTGCAGTGCTTGTCCTGATTGCACGCGTTTGTACAGGTTACAGAGGGGACTTCGTATATTTCTGGATTTTCAAGCGAGTA